GGCTGTGAACCTTAAGGTCAGCAGTTCAAAACTATCAGCCACTCCGCAGGAGAAAGATGAGACGTTCTACTCCCGTAAAGATTTACAGCCTCATAAACCCTGTACAGGGTCGCTATGGGTCGGAGCCGACTCGACAGCACTTAACAACAACAACAACTAGTGTTTTCTACCTTTATTTGTTTCAGAGGTCCTATTCATGGCCAAGGTGCATACAGGACATGAACTGTGTTTGGATTCTAATCACTTTTTCCTGTTTGGGGGTTCTTTTATTCAGGCTCTTCTCTTTTGTAGAGGTGAAAGTCTGGCACGTGTAATGAAAGCATGAGTGTGCTATCTGAAACATGACATGTGCCTTGTCTGTAACGGAAATGCACTTCTTTTCAGGTTCTTTTTGTGCTTGGCTTGACTGTCTCTGCTTATTATTTCTCTGGTACAATTGTCATTTCTCTTTCAGAAATTTTTATGAGGTGGGAAGGAAAAAGTAAAGCAAAACTCCTAAGTTTACCACCATATGTAGCAGCCTTTAAAATATGTAGCAACCAGAGGGGCTTTACTTTTTTTATTTGTTTTCCTAGTTGTGGTTCTCACAATTGGACCAATAAGTCACATGATAAATGGAGAAAAGATTGAAGTTATTTAAGACTTCAGTTTCTTTGGATCCATAATCAACATTCATGGAAGCAGCAGTCAAGAAATCAAATAATGGATTGCATTAGGCAAATCTACTGAAAAAGACCTCTTTAAAGTGTTCAAGAGCAAAGATGTCAGTTGAAGAACTAAGGTGCTCCTACCCAAGCCATAGTATTTTCAGTCACCTCATATGCAGCTGAAAGTTGGACTGTAGAAAAATCAGTACATTTGAATTATAATGTTGGAGAAAAATATTGAACTGCCAGAAGAAGAAACAAATCTGTATTGGGAGAAATACAACCAGATCTCCTTACGAACCAGGATGGCGAGACTTTGTATCTTGTTCTTTGGACATATTATCAGGAGAGATAGTCCTTGAAGAAGGAAGACCCCCTACAATATGGAATGACATAGTGGCAGCAAAAATGGGCTCAAACATAGTAAAAATTGTAAGGATGACACAGGACAGGACAGTATTTCCTTCTGTTGTGCACAGTACGGTCACTGTGAGTTGGAATTGACTCAATGGCACTTAACAACAGCAACAGCAACAGCAACAATTGTGGCAAAATACACATACCATGAAATACAGCATTTTAACCATTTTGACATGTACAATTCAGTGGAGTTAATTAATTACAGTCATAGTTTTGTACAACAACAATGATCTAGTTCCAAAATTATTTGCCTCATGCCAGAAAGCAACCCACAGTTATTAAGTGCTTTAATTATAATCTTTGTCTTTGTAGTTGATTGAAGGTCAGTCTTTTGTGGACATAGTGATGGAGAGAGGCTCTTTGAGGTCCTCCCTCCATCCCCATGGCCCGGTCTCAGTCACCTGAACAGAGACATGCATCACAAGTTGCTGTCAACTCGGATTCATGGTCAGAGCAGAACTGTGCTCCATCGGATTTTCAGTGACCAAATTTTTTACAAGTAGGTTGTCATACCTTTCTGTCTCATCTCTGGAACCATCAACCTTTTGATCACAGCCAAGCACATTAGCCATTTACATCATCCACAGACTTCATTAGAATCATATAAACCAAAAAGCCGAGTGTATTGCTGTCGAGTAGGTTCTGACTCATAGTGCCTCCTTCCTGTGTGCCGAGTTTTCTATACCGATCTTTGCAGAAGCAGATTGAGTCTTCCACGCCAGGTCTTCCATGGCACCACTGAATGGATTCATAACTCCAACCTTTTTGATTAGTTGTCAAGTGCAACACAGAGAACTAAATGCATATGAAGGAGAATCAAGAAATTTGTGGAATATTTGAATGCAAAGATAGTGGAATTCCACCTTGAACTTTTTAAAGCCCCTCATATAATGGCTTATAAAAACACACACTGATCATATAGAAATACAGAAGTAGATAAAGAAATGGCACTAGAAAGGATTGGTACTAATTAGGAGATGGAGTTATGGGAATAGCAGTGATTTTAAGGTCCCAGTATTAGTCCAAAGAAAAAGTTACCTGATTGCTTCCACAATTCACTTTATTTTAGAAGTCTATTTTCATTTAATGCCTATTTTTACTTAATCTTAATTCTGGCTGAAGGCCTAATTAATACATTTTTTTTAAACAAGGAGGCCTCACTCTTGTGATTAAAAGAACTTTGTAGTCCTCAATGCCTGAAGAAAGTATTTCATTATTCTACATCTTTTCTTTTCTGCAATGTATTACTGAAATATTGTTGTTAAGTGCCATTGAGTCAGAGCAACCCTGTATAGGGTTTCCAAGGAGCGGCTGGTGAGTTTAAATGACCAACTTTGTGGCTCAAAACAATCTTGCAGTCCAGTGCTTTATCCTACAGTGCCACATATGATTTTCATTTTGCATCCATGTAAGCATTCTATTTTGAAATTATTTTAAAGGTGCATAAGTAAGATTTCAAAGTATCTTTTTCAATATGCCACAATTTCATATACTTTTTAACTCATCTTCTAGAAGCTATTTATAGATTTCCCTACCTGGTCAATAGAGTCCTGGTGTGGTGCTGTGGGTTAATGCACTGCACTGTAAGGTCGGTTTGAATCACAAGGTTCGTGGTTCTAGCTCACCACCCACTCCTCGGAATCCCTATACAGGGTCGCAGTGAATCATAACTGACTCCATGGCATTTAATAACAACAATAACCTACTCAATGGAAAATAAATGTATGCGCTCGTTGCCAGCAATGGCTGTGTACCAGACGTCCAACTATATTAGGCTAATGGTTTGTCATACAAGGCTAAGGCTCTTTAATGTCATAAACAAAATACCTTTTAGGGAATTGGAGCTGTAGGAGAAATGTAGAATTGGTCAGAATCCTTATTTTCAGGTTCTTATTTGAACCAATTTAAAAACTGTAAATGACAGGAACAATGAAACAAAATAGATATATCGTTGGAGACAATACAAAACCTACAATCAGAGGTCCAGGTGATCAGTACTAAAATATCAGAAATGGACAGTACACTGAAAGGGCAAAGGAGTAGTTGAATCAATGGAAGTCAGAATTAGTAAGCATGAAGGTAAATCTCCTAATACTGCTAATATAGAACAATCAGGAAAAAAGAATGAAGAAATCTGAAGAAAGCCCAAGATTCATGTGGGACAACATGAAGAGGAATAACCTGTGGGTGATTGGAATTCCAGAATAGGAAGAGACAAATAAAACCACAGAAAAAATAGTCAAAGAGCTGCTGGAAGAAAATTTCCCTAACATACTGAAAGATGATAAGTACTCAAGAAACTGAATGAACACCAGGCAGGATAGACTCAAAACAAAATCACCAAGATATATCATAATCAAGCTCTCCAAAATTAAAGGCAAGGAAAGAATTCTGAAAGTAGCTAGGGAAAAAAGAAATGTTACCTACAAAGGAAAACCAATAAGATTAAGTTCTGATTTCTCAGAAACTATCCAGGCAAGAAGGCAATGGGGAGACATAAACAAAACTCTCGAAGAAAAAAACTGCCAACCAAGAATCATATACCCAACAAAACTGTCCATCAAATATGATGGCAAAATTAGAACAGTTCAGAATAAACAAAAATTAAATGACTTTGAAAAAGCTAAGCCAATGTAACAAAATAGACTAAAGGGAGCTCTTTGAACCGAGACCCAACAAGAGCAGACAGCAACCAGAGGTTGACATACATGGCAACACCACCAGGAACTCAGTCCAGACATGCAAGAGTCCAGAGCAGAAAAAAACTACAAGACTGAAAATAGGGTATCTGGGATGTCAGTCTATGATTAGGACAACTACAAAGCAAAGGGGTGGGAAAGTACAGTTAACAGAGTTTCAGGTGGTGGTGATGTCAGATAGATTTCAGGATAAAATCGACTGTTTTAAAATGAGGAAGAAACTAAGAAAATACAGGACACCTCAGAGAAACAATATACCTTCATATCAAATCAAGAAAAGGAAAATTCAAGAAGTTTTTTAAACTATGAAGAAGTTGACAAGAAAAAACACACCAAAAAAAAAAAAAAAATGAACCCAGCACAGGACAGCATGCAGAACAAAGAAACCAGCAACACCACACACAAAAACCAGATCGCAAAATGACAGCAATTAATCCATTCCTGCCAATACTTAATGCTGAATGTCAGTGGATTAAATGCACCACCAGTCAAGAGACTGAGAGTAGCAGATTGGATAAGAAAACAGGATCCTTCAATATGCTGTCTATAAAAGACACACCTTACACAAAGACAAAAATAGATTAAAAAATCAAAGCATGGAAAAAAAATTATATCAAGCTAATTGCAGTAAAAAATGAGCAGGAAATATTAATCTCTAATAAAATAAACTTAAAAGGCAAAAACCAGCATAAGAGTCAAAGAAAGACATTATCTCATGATTAAAGGATCAATTGAACAAGAGGACATAACCATAATTAAAAACCATAAATGTCTTAAGTTGGGCCAGAGTGTTTATTTGTCACAGACCCCACCATTCCCTGTTAGCTGTTATCTATTTCACACTGTGCATTAATTACTTGCCTGACCTTGCCTATGGGAAACTAAGGAAGAGAGGGAGACAGACATAACCACAGGGAAATCTAATCGGACCCTCTGTCCCTTGGTGGGTTGGTATGTCCCTAAGGGGGGTGGGGTGGGGGGGTGGTTGGCAGTGTGGGGAGGCAGGAAAATGTGGCAGTGTGCACAGAACTAGCAGCCCAGGCCAGGCCCACAGTGGATACTAGGCGGGATTGATCAGGATCCTAAGGGCTTCTGTATTTGCTCTAGTTGGACCTGATAAAATCACAGAGACAGAAAGCTCAAGTGATAACCTCCTTATAAGCATCTCCTCATTGTTTTGTTTTTTTTTTTTTGCTCTTCCTGTCAGGTGAATACCCAGGATTTCAGAGGGCTGGTTCGGGAGGACGCTGTTCTCTACCTGTTAGAAATCCCCAAAGGTGAAATGGTGACCATTTTAGCTCAGAGCCGAGCCGATGGTGAGCAAGTTTGTTCATTTAACTTAGTTTGGGGTTGGACAGGGTTATGGAGGAGAGATCATTGGACCAGAATAGGCAAATCTGGGTATTAAAAAATCAGAGTAGATTATAACACTTAGTCCTGGTTCATGGGTATGTGCAGAAAAATTGGGAATCACTTAAAAAAAGGTTTTCTGTGCCTTCACTGCAGTCATTCCAGCCGTTGTGTCAATTTGGAATAAAACTGCTTTTCTGGACAGTGATGTATTTGAAAGGAGACCTGCTTGGAGTTATTACTGTGTTACGGAGTTGTCTTACAATATGTTTTGTCAGTCTCCACATTAGTCCTTATTATCCATCGTCAACAATTTGCTTAACCTTTCCAAGCTTTATATCATCCCTGTCTGTCTCAGGAGAGATTGACGACTCAATGAAGTTTGTTCTCCATTCCCCTCCCTCCATTTTTTTTTTTTTGTTGCTTTTTTGCTACCTCAACATTTTTCACTTGTACAATTACATGAAACCAATGACATCAATCGTGTTGTGCAACCATCCCCCACACCCTTCCTTTCTGCTTGAGCCATGGTTCCCATAGGGCCTGTGCAATGCGTTCACTGAATGGAGAGAAAGTAAGGGAGGGGATCAGAGAGATAAGGAAAAGCTAGACCAATGTAACCAAATGTGGCAAACCATACTTTTGTCTTCCAGTGTACAGAGACATCCTGGCTTGTGGCCGAGGAGATTCATTTTTTATAAGAAGTCACTTTGAATGTGAGAAGGAGACACCACAGAGCCTGGCCTTCACCAGGGGCGAGGTCTTCCGAGTGGTCGATACGCTGTATGATGGCAAGCTGGGCCACTGGCTGGCTGTGAGGATCGGAAACGAGTTGGAGAAAGGCCTAATCCCTAACAAGAGCAGGTAGGTATCTCCGATCACATACTCTCCTATGTCCCTCTGAACCATTCCCACCTCAAAAAACATCAGAACTCTTGAAAAGGAGGTTCATGTGACTTCACTGTTGGTCATCATGCTCTCTCCTCCCATTGTCTACTCTTACTTCCTAATGAATGATCTAGAACTACTATAAAATACCCAATACCCAATGGCTTCTTGTTTACTGGTTCTTCTTCACTCGGGACTGTTGACCGCTCATTCTCCACAAATCTACCCTTTACGGGCCCGGAACTTTAAAATACCCATCAGCTCCTTGTTTCCTGGGGGATGGCCCAGAACAGTAAAAATGCCCATCAACTTCTTAAAGAATCCAGGCTTACTGCATTCATTGAGGCTGGAGGAACCCCTGAAGCTTTTTTCCTAAGATACTCTTCAAACCTTGAGTTGATGCTGTCCCCTGAAGTTATCTTTTAGCTAAACAGATATTTTAGCTCCAGAAGTAAAGATTATCGGCTTTGAGTGTTGAGTTTTTTTAAAAGAACTGTACATTACATCAAATGGATGACAGTTACCATAAAACATAGATGAGAAGTTGGGAGTAGGGTGGGGGGAGTAAGTCTAACTAGAACAGAAATAAGGAGAATGTTGATATAAAGAATGTAACCAGTGTCACTGAACAGTACGCGGGAAAGTGTTGAATGAATGGAGCGTGCTTTTCTGTGTTTTAACTATGAAAACCCAAACCCACTGCTGTTGAGTTGACTCTGACTCATAACTCATAGGACAGAGTACAACTGTTCCGTAGGGTTTCTGTGACTGTAAATCCTTATGGGAACAGACAACCTCATCTTCCTCCCATGGAGTGTCTGGTGGGTTTGAACTGCCAATCTTGCTGTTAGCAATCAGCCCTGTGCTTAAGCCACTGTGCCACCAGTACTCCTTTGCTGTGTATAATTTATTTCACCCACACTAAGTAGAATATTAAACGATATTAAAATTATCCACCAGCTGATTTGCTGTGTTTAGCATCGCATGGTTGGTTGATGAACTTGACTAATGTTGACATGATTACCAAAGGTGTATCCGCTGCTTTGTACCAGTATGAGATAGATCTGAGTGGCCAACACACCTCTTAGGAGTGAGGCAGGTTGTTGGGCAGCACCCACCCCTCATCCTTGGGAAAGGCTTTCCTCAGGGAATACTTTTTAGCTGACAGTAGAAAGATCTAGGAAAGATACCTCTACTTTGACAGGTTAAAGCCAGCTTCCCAGAATGGGGTCAAGTGGAAGGTATTTTTTACTGAGCCACTTCTGATGAGTTTTATAGAGACCTAGCCTGTCTCTGCCTCTGTCTGGAAGTAAAGGCCCCCTCATGCTTCCTACCCCATGAAACGTTCTCACTGTCAAGTCAAACCTTCTCATGTCCAAGTGCATAAATCACCCTGGCAGGATTTGCTTGATGGCGTGCCCCTTGTCTCACTTTCTGGATCTAGAGATTTACTCCCCATGGTTTCTCTGTCAGGGCTGAGCAGATGGCCAGTGTTCAGAGTGCCCAGAGAGACAATGCTGGGGACAGGGCAGATTTCTGGAGAATGCGTGGCCAGCGATCCGGAGTAAAGAAGAACCTACGGAAGAGTCGGGAAGATCTCACAGCTGCTGTGTCTGTCAGCACCAAGTTCCCAGCTTACGAGAGGGTTTTGCTGAGAGAAGGTGAGCCACGAGGGGCCAAAATATGATCGGACTGGTTTGTGAGTCTGTTTCCTTTCACTTTCAGATGATAATTGTCCAGTTCTAACTGATCTGCAAGGAGCTCTGGTAGTGTAGTGGTTATGAATCGGGCTGCTAATCTCACGGTCAGCAGTTCGAAACTACCAGCTGTTCTGTGGGAAAAAGATGAGGCTTTCTGCTCCCGTGAAGATTTATAGCCTTGGGAACCCTGTACAGGGTTGCTATGAGTCGGAACCGACTCCACGGCACATAACAACAACTTGTCTGCATCACCCTAGGCTGTAGAACTGAAACAGGAAAGAGATTTTCCAAAGAATGAGCTGCCTGAAACTTCTCACTGGAGACTTATTTCCACAGCCTGAAAAAAAATTAATATCATCATTCAAAAGTTTTGATGTAGTCCTCATGTACAAAGATTACCTTTAAAAATGATTAGAGAGGGTCAAGGAATATTATTCAGAAAAAAGAGATGGGTTGAATTGAGGTTAGGAGGACACACACTTTCCTGTCATTTAGTTGTGTTATTGTCAAAAAACTATTAAAAGTTGCTCAGTAAGTTAAACATAGAATTACTATTGTTGTTAGTTTGCCATTGAGTCTATTCTGTCTTGGGGACCCCATGTGTATATAGTAAAACTGCTCCACAGTGTTCCCAAGGCTGTGACCTTTCAGAACACATTACCAGGTCTGTCTTCCAAAGTGTCTGTGGTTGGGTTTGAAATTCTTTAGGAATACCATGTTGTTGTTAAGTGCTGTTGAGTCGGTTCCTACTCATAGAGATCCTCTATAGGGTTTATGAGGATTGGCTGGTTAGTTTGAACTGCCAACCTTGTGGATCAAACTGACCTTATGGTCTAGTGCTTATCCTACAGCACCACACCAAGACTCTTTAGGATCACCATATGACCTGCCAATTCCACTCTTGGGTATATACCTCAAAAAATTGAAAAGAGGTTTTCAAGCAAAAAACCTTGCACGTCAGTGTTCATAGCAGCAATATGCACAATAGCCAAAAGGGGAGACAACCTAGATGTCTATCAAGTGACGAATGAATAAGCATATGGAGTAGAGTCCTAGTACAAAAGATTACCCAGCCATCAAAAGACATGTAGTATTGTTAGATGCTGTAGCATGGGTGAATGCTGGAAAACTTCTACGAAGTGCAAGAGACCAGACACAAAAGACCATGTATTGTATGATTCCATTTATGTGAAATATGCAGAATAGGTAAAGCCATAGAGAGAGAAAGCAGGTTATTGGTTGCCAGGTACACAGGGTGAGAGTGGGTAGGATGACGGGGATGAGGGACTCCTAAGTGGGTATGGGGAGTCCTTTAGGGATGAAGATGTTCTGGAACTAAGAGAGTGATGATGGTGTGCTACATGTGAACACACTAAATGCCATCAGTGACCATATCTGTAGAGTCCTGGTGTGGTGCTATAGAATAAGCAATGGACTGCTAATCTAAAGGTCCATGGTTCAAAACCACCAGCCATTTCTTGAAAACCTTATCCAGGGTTGATTTGAGTCGGGACTGACTCAATGGCACTTAACAACAACATTATGTGTATTTTACCACAATTTTTAAAACAAAAATAACCACCCCTTTTACTTGTGCCTTCTATCTTTATATTATTGTTATTAAGTGCTGTCGGGTCAGTTCCAGCTCATAGCGACTCTGTGTAGTGTTTCCAAGGAGCAGCTGCTGATCTCATGGTTGGAAGTCCAGTGCTGATCCTAGAGCACACACCAGGAATCCTTCTATCTTTCTATGGTTAGGCAAAACTATTTGTTTAATGGCATTTCTTGTCTCCTTTCAGCTGGTTTCAAGAGACCTGTGGTCCTATTTGGCCCCATAGCAGACATAGCAATGGAAAAGTTGGCAAATGAGTTACCTGACCAGTTTCAAACCGCTAGTAAGTCTGTCACTAATTTAAATTTTATTTTGAATAGTGAACACCCACAAGCCCTTCACCTGGTGTCACCGATTTTTAACAGTTTGTCATTTATGCGTTCTCTCCTTCTTTCTTTATCATTCTCCCAACACGCACATGCACCCACATACATACTTTAAACATTTCTGCTAAACCAGTTGACATTATGACCCTACACTTCGCCCCTGAACCCTCCGGTATGCATCTCCACAGAGTAAGGACATTCTCCTCCATAATCACAACACAGTTAGCATGAACAAGACATCTAATACTGATACAGCAATATTAATTACACAGCTCATTTTTCCAATTTCCTCAGTTGTCCCAATTATATCCTTCATAGCTTTCAAATTTTATCCTTTTAAATTAGGGGTAATGAAGGAGCATGTGTTGCATTTGGCTTTTATGCCTTTCTGGCCCCCAATTCTTTTCTAAATTATTACGTAACATTCATTTTTGAAGAGTCCAAGCAGGTTTTCTCACAGTGTTCCTTGTTGGACTGACTTAGTTTATTCTTCCTGGTTAGGTTTCAGTTAAAAAGGAATCATGTGGTTGTCTCTAATTTTTAACAGATTAATTAACTCCTTGTTTGTGCTTTTATAGAAACGGAGCCAAAAGATGCAGGATCTGAGAAATCCAGTGGGGTGGTGCGGTTAAACACCGTGAAGCAAATTATTGAACAGGTGAGAAAATTCATCCAAAGGCCATATATGCACTCAAAGAATTGCATCATGTTTTTCTGCAGCTTTATTTATTTTTTATTCCAAAATCTGTAATTTAATAACCATGACATGTTGATGATAAAAAAATGAATATACATATGAACTGTTTCACTATGTGAAGCCCATTACTATTATGTGGCATTGGTGTCTTTGTTTTAGTATTCTTAGCAATATACCAAGTAACCTATTGATTATAAAAAAAAAATTAGTAGATTGATAATATTAAAGTAGATAGTTTGTGGAGGGAAATGGTTTCTGCTCTTGAAGTTTCCAAGTTAATCTGATGCAGCCTTTACTTATTAAAAGAAGACCTTTGATTCTGTTTGGTTTTAACCATTGAGGAACCAAATAGCCGTTGACATTACTCGCTTCCATTTTTAACAGGATAAGCATGCACTATTGGATGTCACTCCAAAAGCTGTCGACCTGTTGAATTATACTCAGTGGTTCCCGATTGTGATTTTTTTCAACCCAGACTCTAGACAAGGGATCAAAACTATGAGACAGAGGTTGAATCCAACGTCCAACAAAAGTTCTCGAAAGTTACACGATCAAGCTAATAAACTTAAAAAAACTTGTGCACATCTTTTTACAGGTAAGTACAATTTCATTTCTTTGCCTAAAAGTGAGAAAAAGAGAATGGAAGAAGTAAAAACGTCATCTGAATGGAGAATTTGAAATCAAGTTCATGACCCTTGGTAAAGTAGTTAATCCCCAGTAGTTTAAAAGGATATGAGACCAGTGGTGTGTATATATTCTGCAATCTTGACTTTAGGGAAATGTTCATAAAGATTCAGGACAGCAGCAATTGGTCATTTTGTTGATACTCAGACTTTTAGTTGGGAGGACCACAGGTTTGTGTGTGAGATTGTAGTTGATTGAACCAAGCTCCCCACCAAGCACCCACATCTCAGTGTAGATGAATGCATTCCGTAATTTATGCTGTGACGGCACCTTTGCATCATCATTTAAAAATGTACCTATAGTAGGAAAATGTCCCTATAATAGAAACTGGAACATAGTTGGATATTGATATTGGGTGATAATTAAGGTTTTATCATTCCTGCTTTGAGGTGCCATAATAATATGATTATGTGAAAAAAGTCATTATTTTTAGGGGTACATATTAAAATGTTTATGGCTAGCCTAATATGATGCTTGGGATTTACTTAAATAATCTGCAGGAGAAAGGGGAGTTGAGAATAGACAAACCACGACTGGCCAAGTATTGATCAGTGTTGAAGTTGGGAGATGTGTTCATGGGAGTTCATTAAACTGTTCTACTTTTGTGTTTTGTGTGTTTAAAGTTTTCTGTAATTTAATGTTTTTTTTTTTTAATCCCTAAAATGAAGACCCATTGCTACTATTACCCTTGAAAGTAAAATGAACTAAGAAAGTGACATATTTTAGTAACATATTTCAGTAAAATTTCTTTTTCTTTCTTCCTTCCTTCCTTCCCCTTCCTTCCTCCTTTCCTTTCCTTTTCCTTTTCCTTTTCCTTTCCTTTCCTCCCTCCCTCCCTGGGGAGACACTGTAGGATAAACATTGGACTGCTAGCCACAGGTCGGTGGTTCAAACCCACTAGCTCCTCCTCAGAAAACCTATACAGGATCCCTGTGACTCAGAATCCACTTGACGGCACGTCACAAAACAACAGCATAGTAATAATGACTTAGCCCTGGTGTGGTGCTGTAGCGTGAACACTGGACTGCCAGTGGTGCTAACTGCAAGGGTGACACCAGCCGCTCTTAGAAACCATATACAGGGTTGCTATGATTCAATGGCACACAACATATTAATGATTAGTTCTGTGCAGATGGTATAATTAAGGACTTACAGGAGTTGAATGCATTTTTTGGTCATGCCATGGTTTTATGTGGGAGCAGCACGAGGAGGCTGCATAGATATAATGTCCTTAGTTAGGATAATCATCCCCTTTTGGAGCAATTTTTGTCAACCAATGCCATTTTTGCCTCTGTGGGAGGGAGGTGGGTGAATGTGTATCAGCTTTAGACTCTTGCTTTAGTGTTGCTGGATTTTCTCATTAAAGAGAGATGTACTGTGTACCACTATGGCAAAATATTGTAACCGGCAAATACTATGAAACACATAGCTGTCGAGTTGATTCTGACTCCTAGTTACTCTGTATGACAGAGGAGAACTGTCCCATAAATTCCCTAGGCTGTAATCTTTCGAAAAGCAGACTGCCACATCTTTTTCCCACATAGCACCTGGTGGGTTCTGACTGCCTACCTTTGTAGTTTAGCAGCCAAACACTTCACCACCACACTTAACACCAGGGCTTCTCAACAGGGAGATAGTTTAACCAAATGCAGAAGAGAATAGTGTGAGCCATCATAAACTGGGTTTCTGTGAATGTAGACACTTGTACCTTGGGTATACTCCTATGTATCTTTCTTCTATCATTTTTATTTGTCATTTGGCTTCAAATAATTGGAGCTCACTTAACCCTCTTTGGGAAATCAGTCATCTGGACCAGTGTAATAAATCCTTTCATAGTCTTTGTACATCAGAAGCAGTAGTAATAAGAAGAGTAGCAGCTAGCAATGGTGCAAGCTTTTCTGTGTGCTGTCTTATTATATCATGAAAAAGGGCCAATGACTTGGGCAAAGTCACACATGTAATGCGTTATCTGTGTCTGTGTGTCCAGTATCCTGTATATTTACAGAAGTAAACGTTGTTTTTATGCCATAAGGGTTCTTGTAGTCATACAGTGTATTTCTTCTGATCCGAAAACAGAGACTCATGTAATTGTGACTGATACCAGCCATCCCCTCCCCCCGACCTCCCCACCTTCACGGTTGCACATGTACCTGCTCAAAGGAGGCCAGGTACCTGCGTATCCACATAGCTGGTGGGTACCTTTATGTGGAGCTCAGGGAATGAGTCATAGTGAAGCTCTAATTTCTTGTTTAATGTGCTTGATTCTTAATGTGAATTCACTAAGAGGTTTTCTGACTTCTTCCATTTTATCAGGGGCAGGAACATGTTTTCTGCGGTTCATAAGTGACCCTTTGAGCTTTCCTTTTGTAGTGTGCTGAACTAGACGCTACTCCTCTCAGAGAACTTCAACATAAAGCACCTTAATGTTACATTTAGTGTGAATCATTTATTTTGTCCCTGGGGAATGGGGTTCTTTATTAACTGAAGGTGCACAATCTTATTTGTATTATTTAAGTACTAAGCCATTGCATTCTACCATAAACACAGTAACCTTTGCAAGCAACTATAATAAGGGTACAAAGTCCAGGCAATCAAGGTGAATTTTCCTTGTACTATCCAATGCACTTTAGCCCTGTAAATAAATAATAACCAAGGAAAGTGTAAACTCATTTAGGATTTTCCAAAGCCAATGTTGGTAGCAGTGGGTGATTATGTGCCATGGAGTTGGTTCAGACTCATGGTGATCCTGTATAGTGTTTACTCTATAGTGTTTCTGAGGTGGTACATTTTTACAGGAGCAGAAAGCCTCATCTTTCTCACATGGAGCGCTGATAGTTTCAAACTGCTGACTGGGATTAAGAGCCTGACTCATTACCACTATGCTACCATAGCCAGCATTGTTGTTGTTGTTAGGTGCCATTGAGTCAGTACCGACTCATAGCAACCTTATGCACAGCAGAATGAAACACTGCCGATCCTGGGTCAACCTCACTACTGTTGCCACGCTTGAGTCAATCGATGCTGCCACTTGGCCAATCCATCTCGTTGGGGGTCTTCCTCTTTTTCTCGGACCTTCCACCTTATCAAACATGATATCCTTCTCCTGTGACTGGTCCCTCCTGACAATATGTCTGAAGTATGAGAGACAAAGTCTGGCCATCTTGGCCTCTAAGGAGCACTCTGGCTGCACTTTTTCGAAAACGGATCTGTCTATTGGTTCTTTTGGCAGCCCATGGCACTTTCAATATTCTCCTCCAACACCATAACTCAAAAGTATCAGTTCTTCTATAGTCTTCCTTATTCACTGTCCAACTTTTGCATGCATATGAGGTAATTGAAAATACTGTGGCTTGGGTCAGGCGCACCTTAGTCCTCAAGCTGACAACTCTGCTCTTCAACACTTTAAAAAGGTCTTGTGCAGCAGATTTGCCTAATGCAATACGTCGTTTGATTTCTTGACTGCTGCTTCTGTGAGTGTTGATAGTTGATCTAAGAAGAATGAAGTCCTTGACAACTTCCATCTTTTCTCCGTTGATGAGAATGTTGCTTATTAGTCCAGTGGTGAGGTTGCTGTAATTCTGAAAGCTATGCCACTGGTATTTTAAATACCAGCAGGGTCACCCGTGGTGGACAAGTTTCAGATGAGCTTCCAGACGAAGACAGACTAGGAAGAAAGAGTGACTAACTACTTCTGAATATTTACTCACTGAAAACCTTATGAATAGCAGAGAAACACTATCATTCATTTAATGAAACAATGCTATATGTCATGAAGAAGAAAACTTGAAACATAATTTCTTTAAAAAACTTGCTTAATGGTTCTTACTGCCTTCAGAAGGAATGCACACAATTTCATGTACTCTAATAAAAGGCATGGCAGTGTGGTTTTAAAGAAAAAATATCCTAATTTGTTGTCTGATATTTTTAGGCCTGGTTTAATTGTTTATTGGAGTCTTTGTGTGGTGCTGTGGGTTAATGCACTGGACTGCAAGGTTGGGTTTTGAACAGCAAGGTTGGTGGTTCAATCTCACCAGCTGCTCCTCGGAAATGGTTGCCATGGGTTAGAACCCACTCTACAGCGCTTAACAACAACACTTATTTATTATTCTGGACCAGTTGGCCTATGTAGTTTATACTTCTTCAGGCCTATAAATACATAGTTGTTGTTGTAAAGTCTCACCCATAGCGACCCTGTAAGGGTTTCCCAGGAGCAGCTGGTGAGCTTGAACCACCAACCTTGCAGTTCAAACAGCTTTGCAGTCTGGCACATTAACCCACAGTGCCACACCAGGACTCCATAAATACATAGTACTGAGGAGCAATTGCATATATTGCACTTCATTGGCATTTTATATCTGTTCTCTAAAATTTTGTGCTTTTAAATGGATTTTTTGCATTGTAATGTGATGGCTAAGGTCTGGGGCTCTGAGGTCCAGTTCCTGAGTTTGCATACAGGCTTTTCCATTTACTTGGTATGAAATCTTAGTCTAGTTCCTTTCACTACTTTGTGCCTCAGTTTCTCATCTGTAAAATGGGCATGATAGTAGCACCTACCTTGCAAGTTTTAATGAAAGCATGAAATGAGCTAATCCATGTAAGGCACTTGGAAAAGTGTCTTCTTAGTCCATAATTAGTGCTACTGTTCAAGATTAATTTTGTTTTCTATGTTGTTGGTAGGAAATGCGTTCTCCTTAATTAAATACACACCAGTTGAAGTTTGGTTTGCCAATTTAATAATCTAACAGTTACTATACATAGTCTAAAATATTGAAACCTATCAAAAGAATATATATAATCTTAAGTGTTACCTTTAGTATTTTATTGGAGAGTGTTGGCATATATTTGTTTATAAATTTCTTATTTATGGTAGGTCTTACATAATGATCTCTAAAATATGAGTTTTGCATCTGTATTAGCTTTGTTCACTTGTGTGATATGATCTTGAAAACACATATTTTGAAAATATACTTATTATATTATATGGTGGTGGTTATGTGCTATCTAGTCAATTCCGACTCATAGCAAGGAACCTGTACAGGGTTTCTGAGGCTGTAAATCTTTACGGGAGCAGAAAGCCTTATCTTTCTCCCACAGAACCGTTGGTAGTTTCAAACTGCTGACCTTGCAGTTCACAGACCGATTCATAACTGCTTTTCTTAAAAATAAAAAAATTCTGAAAACAAATGATGTAAATTTGGTTTAAAACCACCAGCTGCTCTTTGGAAACTCTATACAGAGTCATTATATGAGTCGGAACTGACTCAATGGCACTCACCAACAACAGTATCAAGCTTTATAATGGACTTCTGTTATGGTGCTGTAGGATAAGCACTGGACTTCAAACCACAAGGTCAGTGGTTCAAACCCACCAGCTGCTCCTTGGAAACACTATACAGGATTGCTATGAGTTGAAACTAACTCAATGGCACTTAGCAACAACAACTTTTATAACATCAGTCTGTAAGTTCCAAGGGGACCCTGGTGGCTCTATGGTTAAGTGCTTAGATGATAACCAAAAGGCTGGCAATTTGAACCCACTTGCTGCTCTGTGGGAGAAAAGAGTTGGCAGTCTGCACCCATAAACCCTATAGGGCAATCCCGCTCCATCCTTGCTATGAGTTGGGACCCCACACAGTAACAATATAAACTTCACTAGCTGCATGGCTAACAGTTTTATGTTCAACTCAAGGTATTTATTATCCAAATTTCTGTAAACTTCTTCTTGGCCTTGCCAAAATTTTCATAGAAAAATGACAGAAATGAGCATAAATGATGTCACGTAACACTCTTGGTAGACTTGGCTTTGGAAATCGACACACATTTTTTGTTTGCCTTTCAATAGCTACAATCAACCTAAATTCAGCCAATGACAGCTGGTTTGGCAGCTTGAAGGATACAGTTCATCACCAGCAAGGAGAAGCAGTGTGGGTCTCTGAAGGAAAGGTATGTGGCTTAGAAACTCTACTATGAGGTGAGAGTTTGTGCTCTGAATCTTTTCTAAAGAGGGTGGTGAATGTAGTAAAAACTGCCCATTTGAAATGGTTACAGCATATGCTCAACCTTGACATTTTCCAGATTCTTTGAAAAAGTAGTAAAAAGTTAAAGGATTAAAAAAAAAAAAAAAAAGTTTCAGAGGAAGAAAAGGTAATGGAATAACAGAAAAAAGAATTCAGAAGAGGGATGTTTAGGTACATTTAACAGATTGAGAAAAAGTTAAAGGATTAAAAAAAAAAAAAAAAAGTCCCACAGTATGTGATGGATGAAACCCTACATTCACTCCCCTCTACTTTTAATGTAGTAACTAGTGTTGTATTCCAAATACACTAATCAGAGCTTACAAGGTCTCCTACCAAGCTCCACAACTTACTAAAGGTCATGGGGAGCTTAGAGTGGAGAGGAGAGGTGAGGCTGAGGAGGAGCATGAAGAAATCTGCTGAAAATTAATAAGTAGGAGAAAAGCAAATGCAATTGGAATTATTGGTATAGAAAAAGGGTGGCAGAGAACATATAATGATCCCAGGTTTTGTATAGGTGATAAGAGGGTGTCAGGAGACTTGCTGATGCTTCTAGAATCAGATCGCTTCTCATCTGTGAAAATGGCACACACATGGCTGTACTGTGGCGAGGAAGGAGAGAGAGTGTCTAACTTCCTGTGTTCCCTTTAAGTCTAGAAGTCTTTGGTGTTAGTAACCTGTACTCCAGCTGAATGGAGGCAACTTGTGAGACTCACAGCTACTCTTGTTGCTTAATGAGATTACTGAGTTAGATTCTTGCACTTTGGCATCAGGCTTGTTGAATCTGTGTCTATAAGTGCTTACAGTCTGCCAGGCTTCACGATGAGGACAGTTTGAACAAGACAGAGCTTCTGCCCTCCAGGATTTGAGACTTTGGTAGCTGAGTGGAGATGTGTGCCATATAAGGCAATGTACATTTGTTCATAGGAAAAAAAACCTGGAAAGGAGACATATTACTGAAGAATAGTGCAACAATCTGATACAGTTTGACACAGTCACAATATATAGGTTGGTAGGCAAGGTAGGGTGGAGAGTTCATAGATGAAGTCCTTGCACTAAGGTTAGAAGTCCCTGGGTAACATAAATGGTTAAGCACTTGAGTATCACCCAAAAGGTTGGTGGTTCAAACCCACGCAGAGGTACCTTACAAGAAAGGCCTGCTTCTGAAAGGTCACAGCCTTAAAAAGCAAGTGAAGCAGTTCTGCTCTTGGAATCGACTCGACTCGACTGCATCTGCTTTGTTGTCTGGTTTTTAGCACAAAGATAAACTGTTGAGTCCTTTAAAGCCGAGGGATTGTAGTTCAATCCAGGTGCCTGTCCTTCGGAGCACACATTAGGTTTTAGTCCCTTGGCTGTGCCCTTGGGGATTTTCGTGAGTCCCCACCCCAGCAGCCACGTCAGACCCCACTGACCCTGCGAAACAAATTCCTCTAGATGGAAGGGGTGGATGATGACCCCGAAGACCGTATGTCCTACTTAACCGCCATGGGTGCGGACTATCTGAGTTGCGACAGCCGTCTCATCAGTGACTTTGAGGACACCGACGGAGAAGGAGGCGCCTACACTGACAATGAGCTGGATGAACCAGCTGAGGAGCCACCGGTGTCTTCCATCACCCGCTCCTCGGAGCCGGTGCAGCATGAGGAGGTGAGGCCAGGCAGGCAGGAAACACAGGTCCTAGCGTTTCCTTCATTCGACTGGAAAGCCACTGACTCAGGGTATTGTGGAAGGTACTCCTGAGGCGTGGAGCAGATGGCTGCTAGGCATCTCCCACTCCCAGCCAGTACCTATGTGGTTGTAGTTGTGGGCCACAGGCAAGTGGACAGGAACATGGCACTGGGGGGCACCCTCACATGTGATGGATTTGCACAGTTGCCTCTAAATTCCAAGTGGAACATTCCTTTTAAAATGCAATATTGTTATAATTACTTGTAACCTTTGATTAGATCAGTCTCTCTCTTCTCTCTCTCTCTCTCTCTGTACTCTTTGGTGTCCTTGCTTTTTTGCTCTACCTTACCTTTGACCTTTCTAACCTCGCCAAAACTGCTGAGTGTTTCCCCATCAGTTTCCTCCTTTCACTTATTCCAGTTTTTAATTGAGTTTATGATCGAGTGTACATTCGTTCATGTGCACTGTGCACCCACTGGCCTTGACTAGATGACCTACGAGGTCCTCATAAATCATGCCACCAGACACTGATTTGGGGCCAGAGCAATTATTCATGGTACTTCAGAGAACATGGGAAAATAGTCATTGAAAATGAGGTTATCATCTATTTGGATAATTGCTACAGTGGACTTCCCTGTACTAATTTAATTCAGTTCAGCGATTGAGTTTGTTCTTTATGAAATAAAAGTGCTCCCACAATTAAGGGGGGGTTCTGGGGAAGAAAACCTCCAACAAGCCAAAAAACCAAAACCCAAGAAAGAACCAGTAGTTTCTAGTGCTGGCCAAGTTGTAAAAATACATGAACTCCTCAATGTCAACAGCTATGTGTGAGCTAATGCTTAGGAATGCTAACAGTGTTTAGTGACACAAGGCTTTAGGAGGAACAGACTTGCATTGGATGCAGTTGTACTTGCTTAAGCACATGCTAATGGGAATATGCCTGGGGCCTGCCTTTCAGTAAAGACATAAGGGGTCAGTTCCCCAATTTTTGAACCTAATCCAAACCAGCAGAACTCCAGCAAAGCAGAGGAATCTATGTGGGTGTTCTTGTTGTAAATGAATCTTTGTCTTATAGAATATAAGGAAACCCAGCCCAGAGCCACAAACTCAGCTGAAGAGGGCTGCTAGCAGAGATCAACTTAGGGACAATAGCCCACCCCCGGCATTCAAGCCAGAGCCGCCCAAGGTATGTGGCTGGGGAGCCCAGGATGGGAAGGCAGAGGAGCAGGCATCAGGGAAGTACACCCACAGCAAGGTGGTGCTGAGTTCTGTTTAACTTACCATGTTCTCTAGTAGAGTCTGCCTTTTGTCCTGTTGGATGAACCCCCAAGCATTAGTTAAGGGAGGGAAGATTAGGAATAAATGGCATTTAAAATTTATTTATTTATTTATTTCGTATAAAGAATAGGAGTTTGACAAAATCAATATTTTCTGATTTTAGAGGCACCAGAAGGTCCTTACTGGTGATTTACTAAAAGAACACAGTCATCACCATTGCTTACAATGCCTCTCATGCTAGCAGCTTAGGTGTTTCAGTTTGGTTTGGAGTTGACTGCGGTAACCACGTGCCACATTAACTATTCTTCAGTGCCCTTTTTGGTGGCATTGATCGCATTCACTATGTGGTGATGATTATACCAACACCGTTCTGTCCTAGGACTTTTCCTCCATTCTCTGAATCAAGGCCAGGACTTTGAATTTTCATTGTAGCCCAATGCAGTTTCCCTTTTTGACGTAATCATTAATTAAATGATTACTTAAATGAGAAGAAAGTAGTAATTGTAAAGTAATAAGTTACCTCACAAATAGCTCTGAAGTGAAAATAGCCAAGTAGGCATAGGATCCAGAAAAAACAAACAAGAAAGAAGTGGCTATTAGGGGGTTCTCCCCTGGGGGGCCTGGTTAATGTACCATCAGTATGCACAAACTTAGGACCCCTCTCTTGTGATCCTTGAGATCTGATTTCTCCTGAGGTCTTCTCCAAGATGCCAGTCCCCTGTAGTACAAGATTTTTATCCAAGGCCTGGTTGACTTCCAGCGGTTGCAGTCCCTCCAGCTTTTCCCCAGTACCCCCTTGTTTGTTGGAGCTCCAGTAATCTTCCTTAGGAAGAGAAGCAGGACTCAGGATGCCCAAACTGTGGCTGACTGCCCTGCCATGTTGGATTCTGTGTTGAAATGGTATTTACAATTTGTTGACCACCTTTGGAAACTGACCAGGAAATGGAGTGTATTAAATCACTAACTTAGACTTAAAAATCTACTGAAAGCCTAAGGTAAAAATATGTCTTTGCTCTCTGCAGGCCAGAACCCAAAACAGAGAAGAACTTTATGATCTTTCCAAGTCCCATGAATACAAGTCAAACCCCTCCACCATGGCCACTAGTGACGTTCCCATGCCACCTGCCAGAGCATACCCCCCTCCAGTGGCAGCAAAACCTGCTGTTGGAAGGTCTATACTAAAGGTCTCCACTCCCGTCCCAGCCCCAGAGAGTGAGGAGGTGGGGGAGGGCAGTGAGGAGCAAGAAAACACTCCTAAGTCAGTCCTGGGCAAAGTCAAAATATTTGAGAAGATGGATCACAAAGCAAGATTACAGAGAATGCAAGAGCTCCAAGAAGCCCAGAATGCAAGGGTAATTTATTAAAATTAACTTTAAAAAACTGTATCATGATAAAATAATGTGTAATAAAAAATGTTCCGTTTTAAGCATCTTTTAGTGTCCTCCTATCCAGTGATATGAATTACATTCACCATGTGATTGATGCAATTATTACCACAATCTATTTCTGTAAGAAATTGTCATCGCCCCAAACAGTGCAGCTTATATAATAGTTTCCCATTCTTTTCCCCAGAAGGATAATTGTCTTTGAACCACTAGATCCATTTAGTGTGTGAACAGTAAGATGTAAATACATTTGATTACAATGGAGTAGTTCACAATCCCTGGGTGACACAAATGATTAATCATTCAACTACTAACTGAAAGGTTTGGTGGTGTGGACCCATCTAGAAGTACCTCAAAAGACAGGCCTGGTGATCTGCTGCCAAGAAATCTTAGCCTTGAAAATCATGTGGAGCAGTTCTGTTCTGCACACACAAGGTCACCATAAGTTACAATGGGCTCGGCAGCATCTGATTTTGTTGCGTTTGGGTCCACAGATGATACCAAATATGTACCCTGAGGTTTGTGTCATTTCCAGATTGATAGCTATAAGTACATCCCTTTTTCTCCCAGTCAATCTAGGAAAATAAGATGCTTTTCTTCAGACTTCTTGACTATGTCGAGTTCTGAAATTGGGAAAGTGTGACAAGAGAATCCTGGAAGTTAGTTTTCTCTAAAACATTTATCATGCCCCAGGGTGGTACAAACAATGAGGCACTCAATTGTTGACTGGAAGGGCTGGAGGTTTGAGTCCACCCATGGAAGCCTCCAAAGAACACTTCTGGTGATCTGCTTCTAAAACCTCAGCCACTGAAAGCCCTGTGAGCCCAGTTCTATTCTAGCACACATGAGGTCAATGTGAGTTGGGATAGCCTCAATGGCAGCTGTTTGGTTAATGTTGATTTGGTAACTGAGTTTTAATCTGCTGCTGGATTTGCCACAGAAAACAATTCTTGGAGGCTAAAATTTAAAGATCTATTGAGTTATGCTTTTTATCTACTGTTTGAATTTTTGTAGCATGTGCACATACAATCTTTTCAAAAGGTAAAGGAAAATTAAGGAAAAAAATCTAAGGAGCATATTCCACCCAGGGAATGTGGGAATTTCCTTCTATCTACTAGAAGAGTAGCAGGATTTGTAACATTTCTCATGTTTGACATGGAAACTAGAGATTTGCTTCCATTTGGGTTGGAAAAGAAGAAAAGAAAAGGGGAGGACCAGCAGGAAACCGGCAACTTAACTCCAGTGGTTCATTTTCCAGTTTTGTTCTTTTTTTCATAATCGCCACAGATCGAAATTGCACAGAAGCTTCCTGATATCTATGCAGTCCCAATCAAAACACACAAGCCAGACCCCGGCCTGCCCCAGCACACAAGGTAAGAGCTGTCTGATCGCGTTAGGTCTAAAGGTCTAAAACTTCTTATGGGACTTGGTCTCTTTTTATTTGCTTGTTTCCTTGTGGCCATAAATTGACAATTCAACATTTTTTACATGTACAATTCAAGGGCACTAGTTTCATTCATAATGTTGTGCAACCATCGTCATTATCCAGTTCCAAATAGTTTCCCACCATTCATAGAAATGCTTTCCCCAATCACTAATAATCTCTGGTCTCCATACATTTGTTTATTTCATGTAAGTGTTATCCTATAACATCTCTCCTTTATTTCACTCACTCAGCACAGTGTTTTCAGGATTCTTCCATATTATAGCATGTATCAGAGCTTTGTTTCTCTTTATAGCTGAGTTAATATCCCAAGGAGTTCTGGTAGCATAGTGGTTACGAATCGGGCTGCAAACCTTAAGGTCAGCAGTTCGAAACTACCAGCCGCTCCGTGGGAGAAAGATGAGGCTTTCTACTCCCGTAAAGATTTACACCCTCGGAAACCCTGTACAGGGTCGCTATGGGTCGGAACCGACTCGACGGCACTTAACAACAACAACAATGTGCATGTATCGTATTTTGTTGATCTCTGCATCTGCTCTTGAGCAGTTAGGTTGTTTTCTCCCTTTTGGAGATTGTGGGTAATACCACAATGATCATTGGTGGACTTGGACTCTTTAGAAGGCAACTTTTTCGCTCGGATTTCAGAGGATTTCTCCCTCCCTAGTCAAGTTTAATTATAAAGATTACATTAAAGAGTAAAAAATTCATCGGACTTTCGCACGTGTGCTAAAATTCTCTGACAGTATAGTCATTGCCGTTGCAGATCAGTAACACTTGGGCCCATTGGAGCACAGTTATGTTAAACCATGTTAAGCTCATGTCAACCTGTGAGCTTTGTCACTAATGTATTCTGGCTCTTAGCTAAACTCCATAATTCCTTTGTACCACTTAGCAATGTCAGGGTGTTAGTGCCAAAATGTGGTATGAAGAGAGCTGTGATGATCGATTGTTTGGTGTTGGTGAGGTGCTTTATAGTAAGGTGCTGCATAAGTGTATGTTGTTGTTGTTGTTAAGTGCTGTCGAGTCGATTCCGACCCATAGTGACCCTGTCTAGGGTTTCCAAGGAGCAACTGGTGAGCTTGAACCACTGACCTTGCAGTTCAAATGGCTTTGCAGTCTGGTGCATTAACCCACCACGCCACACCAGGATTCCTAAGTGTATGTAGCACCTTAATATATGATCACAGTGTCTTCTGGTGAGGTTTTACTAGCTCATTACCTGCTTCTGAGAATAGAAAAAAATAAATCATATTCTCTCACCGCCTTCCTGACTGGAAGCCAGAGTCATATCTTATCCTAATAGAAATCTAAAGACAAATTTCTTCTTTATCAGTTGAAGGGCTAGCATAGGTAACCAGATTGCCCTTGGCAGCAAGGGGAGGTTTGGTATATAGTAGACTGCACTGGCAGAGAACTTGTTCTGCTGAATGAGGCTGTAGTCTGGGAATTTGGGTGGGAAAGACCACCCCTACTTTTCCATCCAGTTAGAACAATGAGAATTCTTTGGTCAAGGTAGACCTGGTCAGCTTCCTGACTCACTGCCCATGTGGATATTGACTTGGCCCTGTTGTTCCCACTTTGCCCCCACTACTGTGTGAACCTGGAGTGTTTTATCAGCAGAGAAAGTGACCTGCCTTGGGTGATTGTCCACACCCCCACAGGTGACCTGAGGCAAGGCCATCTTCTGAAATGCATTTAACACCACTCTTACTTTCTTAGTTCCAGAGCCCCTGAGCCACAGAAAGGCCCTTCCAGACTTTCTCAGGTTGCCAGAGGAAGTTACAGCAGCGACACTGAGGAGGAGGAATACCGTCAGCAGCTGTCGGAACATTCGAAGCGTGGTTACTATGGCCAGCCTGCCCGGTACCGAGACACAGAATTATAGATGCCTGGGAATTCACTCTGTGCTCGCTGGTTCCCATAGCACTCCTGCTGAGTCTTGGGGATGGTTCTTTTCTAGTTGAAATGCACTGTGGAGACGTGGGACCTAACGTCATGGCCTGTCACGGGGAACCCTGGCACAGCTTGTGTGGATTAAGAACTGAAGGTGACATTTGTAGGACTGGGTTGGGGGAGTTTGTCTTTTTGCTCAGAATTAAAGGGAACACTACAGTCTGATACTGTTACCTGCTTCAGTGGACCAAACTCTGTATAAATTTTGTTTTCATATTTTTAACATGTATATTAAGAAGTAAAAATGATTTTGTCTCATTAATACCTGCCTACAGGACTATCTCAATGTAAGGCAGCTTGTGAAAAAAGAAAATTAAAAAAACAAACCAAAAACTACTGTGGACTCCAGCAAAATTCCAAGAAATATTTTATTACCACTCTTAAGTGCCTTAGATGAGAAGTGACTTAGATTTTCTTCCTCTGAAACTTTTTGCAAAGCCATAATGGACTAAAACATTATTTTGACTAAATTTTTATACCAGTTAATAGCTATGGTTTTCCCTGCACTGAGTCATCTTTTCAAGTCCTTTGTCTTTGTAATATTTTCCATAAATCCTGACTGTATATATAATAGCCTATATTTCATAGTTTGGCTATAAATGCTAACTAAATAGGTTAATGATCAAGAAGTGGTTATAGAAATTGTTTGTTTAAGCCATGTGCTCCACACAAGCAAATACTCATGAAAAACACATTTTGTTTCCAAAAGTGTGTATATTGACAAGAGTTAGTTTTATAATTTAATAAAAAGGAGTACATTGCAATCAGTAACTTGTTGTGTGGTGGACTTCTACAAGACTATTTTTAAGTGCAGCTTTAATTTCTATTACTGTTCATAGAAGTGAAACATGCTCATTATTGAATACTGGAAAATGCAGACACATATGAAGAAGAAAATAAACATTACTCTGCATCTCATTGCTCAAATAATTTTGGTGCATTGCCTCCAATTATGTATGTGTGTGTGTGTGTGTGTGTGTGTGTGAGAGAGACACGAATTGATGTCATCATTCCTCATGATGGGATCAGTCCAACATAAGGGATTAGAGTGGGAAACTCAGGTCACAGTCCTGGTCTGATGTCAGAGGAGTTCCCCTGGGGTGTGACCTGCATCCCCTTATATCTTACAAGAGTTAAAGAAGAGAGAAGCAAGCAAAGAGAGAAGAGCTTTTAGTACCACCAAGAAAGAAGAGCCAGAAACAGAGTGTGTCCTTTGGACCCGAGGTCCCAGCCCTGAGAAGCTCCTAGACCCAGGGGAAGATGGGTACCAACACACATGGAGATCTCTGAGGGATGCTGGGCCCACAAAGGAGACAGTGACTTTCCCTCAGAACCTTCCCCTGGAGCTGACATTTTAAATTCAGACTTCTAGGCCAAACTGTGAGAGAGTACATTTCTGTTCATTAAAGCCATGCCTTGGTGGTATGTCTGTTACTGCAACAGTAGATAACTAGGACAGTTCATCGCTGTGTGTTCTGGAGTCCTTAGATGGCCATAAATGGCTAAATGCTTGATGCTAACTGGCAGGTTGGTAATTTGAGTCCCACCCAGTCGCACTTCAGGGGAAAGACCTGGCAATCTAAGAAAAACCAGTCATTGAAAATCCCATGACCTGCTCTGACACACATGGAGTTGCTGTGAATTGGAGTCGATTTGTCAACAGCTGGTGGTTTTGCTGTGGGTTGGACTTGGGGCTATATGTGTGCACAATTCTATTTCCAGCTCTAATTTAGTCTATTTAGTGTTCGGTTTTGATCCTTTCTCTCATGTAGTTAAAACTCCATGCACACATCATTACTAATGGTGGTGGGTGTGCCACTGAGTCAGTTACAACTCATAGCGTCCCTGTGTAGGTTTCTGAGACTGTAATTCTTTATGGGAGCAGAAAGCCTCATTTATCTCCCTTGCAGTGTCTGGTAGATTCAAACTACTGACCTTGCGGTTAGCAATCCTGCTCGTAATCCACTACGCTACCAGGGCTCCTTATTATTACTAATAACTATAAAACAATACATCACATGCCTGCTTCATAGGTAAGCAGTTCCCCTGTGGTTGACTGTTTGCATTATTTTTTCCCGTGTTTATATGGAATCCATTTTCAAACACCAATAGTGAGCATTTGTAATCGTTTTCTGCAGGAAATTTCTCAGAAGTAGAATTACTGAGTTAAAAGCATGGGCACATTTTTAAGGCTTTGGGTGTGTTCAATGCCAAATTGCTACCTAGAAAGGTTTCATCAATTCACTCACCAACATTCACTGTCTAAAAGCTAAATTAATGTGTAGAGTTTAAACAAGGCAGCCTAGGAATTTAGACTTGTCTGAATCATTTGTTGCTGTAAGTGCCGTTGACCCGGTTCCGATTCATACCAACCCTGTGTAGAGTTTCTGAGGAACGACTGGTGGGTTTGAACTGCTGACCTTGTGGTTCTCAGTCCAGTGCTGACCCCACAGTGCCACACCACGAGGCCTGAGTTATCTGAATCATAAATATATTCAATTTGGGTCTTAGTTTTCGAGTGCATCTATAGCAAATGCCACAAGTGATGATTTTAACAAACAAAATTATTTTCTCACTGTTTAGGAAGCTAGATGTCCAAATTCAGGGTTCTAGGGAAAAGACTTGCTCTCTGTCAGCTCTGGAAGAAGGTTTTTGTTTCATCTGATGCATGAAATGAATTCTGCTCTTGGACATTCCCCTTATGAGTTAACCTCTTTCATTCTTCCCCCGTCTGCTTACTTTCTTGTCCTATTCTGCTTTCTTTATACCTTGTAAGAGACTGACTCCAGTGTGCCTTGGTGTAGCAATGGTTAATAATTGCTTGGCTGCTAATGAGAAGCTCAGTAGTTCAAACCTTCCAGCTGCTCTGCCTGAGGAAGATGTGGCATTCAGCTTCTATAAAGATTATTGTTAAGTGCCATCGAGTTGGTTCTGACTCATAGCGACCCTGTATAGGTTTTTCAAGGAGCGGCTGGTGGTTTCGAACTTCAGGCTTGTGGTTTGAAGTCTAGCATTGATCCTATAGTGCCAAAAGATTATTGTTTTTAAATGCCATCGAGTCAGTGCTGACCCATAGCAACCCAGAAGAGGATTTCCAAGGAGTGACTGGTGAACCATGGAGCCTGAGGTTCAAACCAACTTTGCAGTCCAGCACATTAGCCAACAGCGTCGCACCAGAACAAGAATATGTCTCTGTTGTCCAGTAGAGTTGCTATGTGACAGAATCCAGAGCAGTGGGAAGAGATTGACTTATATGACACCTTATATGACTATTCATTAACATAACAAAACAACCCAATCCCAAGTGGAATTAAAACCACAGGCATAAAGGTTAGAATTTAGAGCCTATTGAGGGTTGGGGGAGGGTGGAGAGGTGGTGTTGTTAAGTGCCGATGAATTGGTTCCAATTCTTAGAGACCTTCTGCACAGCAGAGTGGAACACTGCCTGGTCCTGCACCATCCTTACAATCCTTAAGCTTGACCCCATTGCTGCTGCCACTGTGCCAGTCCATCTTGTTGGGGGACTTCCTCTTTTTCGCTGAACCTCCACTTGACCAAGCATGGTGTCCTCCAGGGATTGGTCCCTCCTGATAACAGGTCTGAAGTATGAGAGACAAAGTCTCACCATCCTAGCTTCTAAGGGGGGTGGAAGGAGTATATAATTCAATCCATAACAGGGTCCTTTATAATGTGAATTGACATAAAAGTGTTAAGCTTGTGTTTTAGTTGAGTTAGAAACGCGATAATACTCATAACCGAGTAATGTTGTTAAGTGCCGTCGAATTGGTTCCGAGGGTTTCCGAGGAGCGACTGGTGAGCTTGAACCACCGACCTTACAGTTCAAACCAACTTTGCAGCCCAGCTCATTAACCTACAGTGCTGAACACCATATTGTAGAGTCCTGGTGTGGTACTGTCAAAAATTGTTAACCACTGGTCACTCCTTTAGAAGCCCTATACAGGTCACTATGAGTCGGAACTGACTCCCCAGCACTTAACAACAATCACCATGTTAGAACCTGAGTGCTGTAATTCATATAGTACCTTGGATTTCTGAGTAATCCTTAAGGCACTGATTAAAAATTGCATAACCATAATTAAAAGCCACCTTTTATGGATAGAAGAGAGTATACACTGACCAAGTCTGTGATGATTTTGTTTGCTGTGTCCTTTAAATACAGGTCTCAGCCCTTTTGTAAACATGGGAGTGGGCAAGGGGGACTCTAGAGGGGGCTGGGAGGTCATCTGACTCCAGCATGTATGTGATGCATGAAATCAGAGTTCTTGAGTACATCTGGTAGTGTGCCCAGTGGACCATCAGGGCCTCCCTGTCCCCCTTTTACTCATATTCTGCCTTGTTCTGGGAAGGATTTAAGCTCTGGGCTACTAACTGAAAGGTTGTTTGTTCAAACTTACCCAGAGGTGCCTTTGAAGTAAGGTCTGGCAATCTACTGTCCAAAGGTCACAATCTTGAAAGCCTTGTGGAACAGTTCTACTCTGCACACATGGAGTCGTCATGCGGTGGAACCAAATCAACGTCACCAATATAAGAGAGTAACTAAAAGTATCGCTACAGAATCAGAAATCTTTATTCAACGAGACTATCAGGATGTTTCCTACCTATCCTCCATCTAGGTCTATACACTCCTGAAGGTGGTTTTCCATCTCTCTAACCCTTCCCCTGCATGCTGAACAAATAATCTGAGAATCTGGGTAATATAAAGAAAAATGTGGCATCAGGATTGGAGGAAGACTCATTAATAACCTGCGATATGCAGATGATATAACCTTGCTTGCTGAAAGTGAAGAGGACTTGAAATATTTACTGATGCAGATCAAAGACCACAGCCTTAGATATGGATTGCATCTCAATGTAAAGAAAACAAAAATACTTACCACTGGACCAATAAAAAATATTCTTACCAATGGAGAA